GCAATGAAAAGGAAGCAATATTCCAAAAAAAGAGACAGTGTATGAATTTCTTTGAAACATGGGTGTACGCAAAGTCCAACATTGCATATGTCACAGAAATAGAATATCTGTTGCTATTTTACTCAGCAAATTTGACTCATTTAGCATTTGTGTATGTTGTTCTAAGGTTAGATAGTGCTTTCGTTTTGCCATAAAAACAACAACAACACCTTTCGCTAAGTGATACAAAATAATTTGTCTCAATGCAGGGAAACTGAGAGTAATAAAAAAGTCTCTAATGATATAACATCTACTCCACTGTAATGGGATAAAAAAATAAAATAAAAATAAGAAAAATTAATAAAATAAATTTAAAAGTATTCCAGACCATCGAGAACAACATGTTCATTTGTTTATATAAAATGGTGCAGTAAGAGCCATTACATTACTCAACACTAACGAATATGCATTTGTGTATATTCTACTTCAAATACTGCTTTCGCCTGCCATTAAAAAAATACGTTTCATTGACAATACAAAATATTCATCTCAATGCCGGAAAAATCTAAGAGTAATAAAAAAGGAAAAATCTAAGAGTAATAAAAAAAAATCTAATGATAGAACATCTATCCCACTATATCGCAAAAATAAAAATAAAAAGTACCTCAATGCAGCGAGAACACATGCATTTGTTTATATCAAATGACGCAGTTAAAGAGACATTACATTGCTCAACACCCCACCTACAAATCTCACTTTCATTCTGAAACGAAATACCAAAAATAAAAAACATCACATAATAATGAAGGTAAACATACTTAATTTTCGATATTATTTCACCATAACAGACATACAGCTACATCTAGCGACAATAAAAAATGCTAATTAAATGTTCTGTCTAAAAAGTCAAATGTGGTACGCATGGCCATAGAGTGAATTAAATGACGATTCAAATATGACACAAACGGTCATGAGATAATGTTTGCTGCTGATGCATATATGATACACCTGTACTGAACGGGTTAATTGAAAAATGCAAACAGTAGTGAGCATGGAAGTCAGTCATAAGCCATGCTGTCGTTATTAAGATGGCCAATAATTGTCTAATCTAGTTTTGTTTCAATTGAAGTGATTCCTGAATTTGTTTACAGTTTCCAATGAATAGCTTTTCAGCAATATCTGCTTCTATGAGTACTTTGATAGGTTCATTAACATCATTATTAAAATTAATGCCACATTTGGAGAGTTCTTCTCATGTCACAGCTGATATTGTCTTACAAATTTGCCAGTTTTTTAGTTGACTCAAAGCAGTAAATTGACAGTTATATGTTTCGGACAAATTTGATAAATCCATTGTAAAAACATCATGTTGGCAAACTGCTGTATTAGATCGTCCAAAATATGAATGTTGTAGATACTCTTTTCTGCTAGACTGATAATTCCTTATTTAGCAGTAGACCTTAGCATATACTGTCTTTGTGATCCAGTATCTGCAATGGCCCTAACCTTGCATTTCTTTCCTTTCTTTCTGATGATTACTGTGAATGTTTGTAAAACAACATTAGAAGCTCTAGATCATTTTGCAAGAGCTTCATCTTGTACTTTTGGTTCTACGTCTTATTTCTGATTTGTTGAAGAAGGAAACCTCTTTCAAAATACTCTTACATAACAATAAGTTATGCTGTTTTCCATGTAATTAATGGTTTAACTTCAACCTGCAAACCTAAACTCCATATTCTTCTAAGCCAATGGAAACAACAGTGTGGATTTTCTGCAACAGTCTTCTTTCAAGGTTATTTTTTTTGGCATTTTTACAGTTGCAAGATTTGTGATCCCCAGAGCAAAATATGCACTGTTTCTTGTTCTGAGAATATAAAAGTTCAGTTGCCATAGAAATGTGAGACTGGTACTTTTTAGTGTTGGTCTCTTGATGGTCATCAAAATGGTTTATTTTCACAGAAATGATTAAAGCTTTCAACTGCCATAAAAATTCTCTCTTTGCTTTTAACCTCATCTTGCTGAAGGGTAAGAAGGTGGTCTAAATCACTTGTGGCTTTCTTAGAATAGTTGGATTGCTCTTCTTGTGATAACTCTTCATTAGATCATTGATTGGCAGATCTAAATCTTTCCCATGTATGCAGCATCTCATTAGGAAGAGCAGATTCAACAAAAGGATGACTCATAGCAGCTTACTTATCTTTCGTAACTCCTAAAGTTTCTAAGTCCCTCAGCTTTGATTCCTATTGATCATACAACCAGTGGAGGCCAGTTTTTTCTGATTTTTGTTCTGACATATGGTTAGTAGGCCTCACATGTAGAATTTTATCTGCAACTCCTCCATAGTGAGCCTGTAATTCAATTGCTGTTGTTTGTCTTTATAGCTTTGAAACTTAATTAATCATCTTTATTATTAACTGCATTAACTGCCAATTTGTGATAAAAGTTATGAGAAAGTACAAACAATAAATTTTTTCAGGGCCTTTCTTATAACTAACTTCACCAGGTGGAAACCTTTTTATTAACTCTTCAACTGATGAGTTTTTTTTCCATAGCTTGTGCAAAATCTACAAATTTATCATGATTATCCAAATTTGGATCCATATCTGTCACCTTAAATTGTCCCCTCCCCAAACCTAACCATATTATATTGAACCCCCACAACCCAAAACCTAGCCTCTTTATATTACTGTGAATAACATGCACGTAACATACATTTGACATAGCCCAAGCCTCCTCTTTATATTACTGTCAAATGAGGGTAGTTAAATTTTGCGATAATGCAATGAAGTATTTGGCAAATGGATTAATACTGTTGGCAACGGATTCTTCTTTTTTCTCATTCAGAAGATTATTCAACTTATTTTCTAATATTTTCCATTTATCAATTTAACATTCTGAATCATCAATTTCTTTATCAAATATGCTCATCTTTTTCTTCAGATTTTAATGAAGCCTGTTTGCATTTATATTCACATGATAACATTCATTTGGCATTAGATTCTATTAGTTTTAGCTTCAGAGTTTTTTATCATTAGATAATGTACTTTCAGTCCCATAAAAGTTATTGCACACAATAGTCCAAATCTTTCGGCAATCTGGCTGGATGAGGTCTGAAATGTGCACAAAGAAGGAATGATGAGGATGTTTACGTTTTCCTTTAGACTTGAAGATTTGGCAGCTGTAAAAATTTAATGAAGTGGAACCATTCCTTTTCTAAGTTGAAATAGGTTCTTGCAAAATTAAATTGTTATAGATGTTTTCAAACAAATTCCAATCAGCATTCCTGAAGCTCCAGCAGAGGTTCCCCACACCAATGGAATTAACCTTAAGATTAATTTCAATTAAAATAGGAAGTATATCGCTACTTATACGGTGAAGTACTCTCCAGTAACTGTAAAGAAGTAAGTCAGGGCTGACAAAGATCAAATCCAGTACACCAGTTGATCCATTATTATTCAAGCAGAAAATGTGTATCTCATCATTTAGGGACAGAAAGGCCTTGCCATTGACCAGAATATTAAGTTCCAGACCTCTTGCATTGGTAACAGAGCTATCCCAGATAGTATTCTTGGCAGTAAGCTTCCCAAGTATTACGGTGTGAATAGACCCTCCATCATGTTTGTATCAAGTCACTGATTATTTGGTACAGGTTCTTGATGATAATACTGCAGTCCTTAGAGGGGACAATTATACTTAGATATTCGAGGCCTATAGTTGCATTGCCAGTATCTATGAACCTCTAAAAATGCATGTCTCAAATAAGAAGCAATTAAGAAGTTTCTTCATGAGTGAAGCAATTAAAAAGTTTCTTCATGAGTGAGACTTACCATCAGATTAGACAAGTTTTGTTAGTTATCACTGACAGATAACCAGGCTTGTCTGAAATTTCTATATTTTAGAGTTAATGTTCCCCAAATTTTCATTATTATGAAATTTTCATCACTGATACTTTTACCCTAGTCCTTCATTTGATGAACAAGATTTTTCAATTTTTGCAATGTACTGCACTGCTATTTCATTGCATTCCATTTTCTACTGATGAAATTTATCAAGCAGCAACATTTTCTTAAAGTCAGATTTCAATTTAAAGAGACCACCTAATTTTTTTAAGCATTTAATTTGATGAAGAATAATTCTCAATAAGCGTGAAATTTCTATTGCAGACAATTTGCAAGTGTGTAGACTTTTTCCTACTTTGCTGTTGCTGCTTCATAATTTTCTGGCTGTACCATAATTTCATTGGTGACAAAAAGTATTCCCTTTGCCTTGAGAGTACAAGTAATTTGAAATATTCATTAGGAATAATTTTGTCCGTTGAACCAGCGATGCTATCTTTCATTTTCTAAATTCTAAACCGAGAATACAATGGATAAACTCACGTTCATAAATTGTTACTTTGCGCTAAACTGGGCCCTTAACCTGTTCAAATTCCTGGTTTAAATAAATTTATCTAGCCTTAAAGTGGAATAAAAGTGAAAACAAATTCATAGGTGTTGCTTCACTAAAACACATTCATAGAATATGAACACGAGAATAAAATAATTTTGCTAAAAAGTACACCAAAAGTTGGACAATGGAATTACGAATTTAAGAGTAAGAAAAATAAAATTGTTCTAGGTAACTGTTTTAGAATCTTTTGCATGACTAGCCTCTGTTGTGTTAATTATACTCTGAGAAGATATGATTTTGTAGGGAGATTTTAATATCTTGGGCAAGTTTTAGAATAGCTGTCATGTCAGACTTATGTAAGTTCTGAGAATGTTTTTGAACAAAAGAGTAGTTTCTTTTATATGGTGCAAAAACATTCTCTAGAAGAAAAAAACTGGAATTCAAATAATTAAACACAATGGAGGATTCTCAGTGGTTCATATGATACTGAAGTTTCAGAGATTATCCAGATTCACACCAGACACAAAAAATAATCACATATATGTGTTACTTGGAGGATTAAGAAGTTTAGTGTTACTGCCACTAACTTTCATCTTCTTTTCTTATTAATTATGAATATAAATGATTTCCAGGTATTATCCCAGTGTTATAGCCTTACTATACAAAGGATCACAGTGCTGTACTTGTGGTTTGAGGTTCAAAGAACTTCAGAGTGACCAGTATAGTCGCCATTTAGACTGGCATTTCCGAATGAATAGAAGAGAAAAAGAGGGCGCTAAGAATGCTTTTGCAAGACGATGGTTTTATGAGGTGGAAGTGAGTATATAAATATTTAACAAAATTGTCTTCATAGGTTTAAAAAAATAGCAATCTCGATGAAAAATTTTGTGATGAGGAAAAAACTATATGTATATATATATAGAGAGAGAGAGAGAGAGAGATGCTATAAAAGTAAATCCTGAACCAACTCAGCAAAGACATGAAAGAAATTAAATTAAAAAGGATTGCTATTTTGAAATTTTTTAACAAAGAATGAAATTTTGTAAATGAAAAAAAAAAAAAATTAGTGTTTTAAAGTTAGAAGAAAATTTTTGAAAACAATCGAAATGCATTCCGAACCCTTAGTTCAAAATGACATCAAATATTGCAAATTTCAAAATTATCTCAGTTAATTTTTGCCATAAGAGAAATTTTGTCTTATTTTTTCTAACAAGTACAAAATATTCCTAAATATTTACATAAGAGAAATGAATACAGTTAGTCTCCTATTTTATAGAAAAATAATTTTTTGAAATTTAAAAGTAGTGAAGAATGAAGTGGGACCATTCCTTTTCTAAGTCATCTGAAATAGGTTCTTGCGAAATAAGATCGTTATAGATGTTTTCAAACAAATTCTAATCTGCTTTCCTGAAGCCCCAGCAGATTCCTCACACCAGTGAGATTGACCTTATGATTAATTTCAATTACAATAGGGAGTACATCGCTTTGTGCCATTTCAAACATTTTGTAACTGTATATAAATATGCCTATGATTAACAGTTATGAAAATAAAGGCCAAGTAAGGACTTTTGTGCAGATGATATATAAAACAAGGATTTGTTATGTTGTATGTAACTGTATTCATAATGTCATTATAATGCATTTCTTTAATTATATCTCTTGTGATCAACTAGTATAAAGTGTCTGTCAATATGACTTTATCGCTGTCAGTACAGTTAATAGAAAAGCTGCTGGGAACTGTAAAAAAGTAAGCAAATTGATTATTGTAAAGGTATTTATATCATCTATCTTGCATATATGGTGTCAGCCAGTAAGTATTTTTTTTCTATTTAAATAGATAGAGCATAATCTTAATTCAATGGTAAAAGATCTACCAGAACAGCTCCTAATAATCAATTCATTGGCTTATCAGCATTTAAAATATATCTGAAAAGTTTCTAAACTGAGTCGGTACTGCATGAATTGGCAAATATGTATTTGAAACAACGGTTAGGAGTTCTCATTCATTTCTCCCCTTTAGGTTATAAAAAGAAACATTTGTAAATCAAATATTCATTGGTGAGCAAAAGCAAATTTTCTGCAAGTATGGTTATTCTAAAAGCAATGGGCTGCTAAAGTATTTTGGGGGATATGGAAAGAAATCTAGATTATAGATATCAATTATTACTGAAGAGCAGTATTAGCAGCAACTGATGTTGCTGAAACAAACTGTTCATGGTGCGGAATAAAATTTACTGTGAACTAACGCAAGTGTCTTTGTATCTTAACAATGTAACAATGCACAATTTCATATAGGGCAAGAATTTCTGCAAAAATAATATGATTTAGATGGGAAACTCTGATGCATCGACTATATTTCTATGCTTTGTCATCATCAGGTTACTGAACTTTTACGTCTTTAGAGTCACTTTAATGGAAAAATTTCTTCCACAGTATGGTGTCTGAAGAGAGTTTAATTCATTCTTTGGTAAAACTGAAGAGCTTCTATTAAGAAGGTAGAAAATTTAAAACTGAACTGGACAAAAACTATTAATAATATAATTAAATGTATCTTAGCTTAAAGTTGAACGTGTTTACTTTTTCACACTATCTTGAAACTTACTGTAAGAAACTGCACTACCTATAGAGTAACCTAATGATATTTTTCCACTCTTTTTTTAAAATTATTTCACCTTTTCAAAATCTGCCGGATAGTGTGTTTCTCTCATTTTGTTTTATTCTGAGATTTCTGAAATTTTTATTATATTCTGAGCATATTAAATTAATATTGGTTAGATTATAAACTACAGATCTCAGTGTCAAGTTTTATGAATGTAAATACTTAATTCTTAAGTTTTAAAGTTTCGTTTGGTAGAAATAAGGTTTCTTGTGTCAGAATTCAAGTTCTGTTTCATGTTGTTATGCAGGGCGTTGAAGAAAGATTGTATGGTATATAAGAAATAATCAAGTAAATTTTGATTGTGGAAGCCTTTGCCATGTGAAACCATGCACAGAAGATGTATAAAATTAAAATTTTTGTGTTGACCTCATAGAACAGTAAAAGAAGAATTATTTTTTATAGTGAAATAACTGTCTGCTGCCCCCAAAGAAACCCTCATATATCAAATATTTTCCAAGATACCCCTAATGAAAGTTCAGAAAACTGTATTCAGGTTATAAGGTATTTCTCCCACTTTCCTAGCTTGCCTTCTTGGTGTAGTGGTTCTGCACGCTGGGCCGGTATTCCAGAGGTCCATGGTTTGATTCCCAGCGGAGGTGATACTAATTTTTCATCTCTCCGTCTTTTCCGAAAAAATCCCAATGTCTCTATGGTGGCGCCCAAACTAAAAAAGGATTGTGGATGATGACTCTCCATACCCAGGATTTGGCGACTGGGTCCCCTAAAAACCCCAGTCGCCCTTTAAAAAGGGGAGTATATAAGGTATTTCTCCCATTTTCCTAGTGCGCCTTCATGGTGTAGTGGTTCTACACGCTGGGCCAGTATTCTAGAGGTTCGTGGTTTGATTCCCTGCGAGGGCTGTTGCTAATTTTTCATCTGTCCCTCATCAAAAAAAAAAAAAAAAAAATTCTAATGTCTCTACAAGGTATTGTTGAAGATATCTTCGTATGTTAACTTTTTTAATGCAAATTTCTTAAAATAAGTTGCATAAATATGATCATGGATTTTAAATTTCCATAGATAGAAATTCTAAAACTCGGAATTTTGCATAGCAAATTAAATTTCACTCGAGACTTAAAATTAATACTATTGCAATAAGTGAGAATGCCATAAGACATTTTAACAGTAATATACAGGGTGCCACCAAGTTTGCTACCATCCATTTAACTGCCGAATGGCTGCAGTTATAGTCATAAAAATGATCTCTAGATATAGTAAAGTTGTAATGCGCTAATATATATATGAGACCGCATATAATGTCACCTGATGGAAAACGGCAGAGTTAGCTTTTCTGTCTCAAAAATGGTACGATGCAGGAGGAAAACAGGAATTACAAAGTTGTAGAGCGTCATCGATTTAGTACGAAAATACACCTCGTAGACATGAATGTTAAGAACAAAATGTTTTCAACGTGCATTTGTTTGTGATTTCATACACTAACATGATAAAATGATCTTTTTTTTAAAAAAAAAAAAAAAAAAAAACTAGTTATCACAAGATACCTTTATTTTCGATGTTCGGAATTCTGAAATGCACATCTGGATTCTTGTTAGAACTTCACATTACACACATTGTAGTATGGCTGGTGAGGTGTTTGCACAGACATTTGTAATATGTCATTGAAGGTCATACAGTGTTTTTGGAGGGGTGCATACACCTGCTGTTTGAGGTATTCCCACAGGAAAATGTCCATTTGAGTCGGGTCAGGTGAACTCGGAGGCCATTCTTTGAAGCCACCATGACCCAGTTATTCATTCTCCAAATTCCTTCATCAGGTACTACTTCATTGGTGATGTCTTGTGCACCATCATGTTGCAACGTCCATTCTGGAGCTGAAACAATGACAGGTTTTCAAAAAATCGGATATTACATTTTGAAGAAGCTCTAAATATCATGCGGCCATTAAAGTACCCTAATAAGATATTGGGCCAATTAGCCTGTTGTTCTAAATGCCATACTAAACGTTAATCAAAAATCAAATTTGATGTTGAATGTTGCCAAAGCATGAGGAAGTTTTGATTGCCAAATAAAGTGTTCTGCCTATTATATTTGTGCATTTCTTTCCGAGAAAAGCATGCCTCATATGTCCACACTATATCTGCTACGAATGTCTGATTTATGACAAAGCTGCACTATACTAAACGTCTGTCGGGATTTCCTTCCAGTAATGCCTGATGAGGAGTATGTACGCTGGTATGGATAAACAACTAATTTGTTTGGGATTTTCCAAACACAATCTTTTTGAGAAGCCACGATATGTGAGGGCATATGATAATACATTTTCCAGTTGGACTTTCCGCCTTGTCTTAGCTGGTCTGTTGGATTGAAATCGTCTAGTTATGTAGTCTTAAATATTAGTTAGTCTAGTTACGTCCCTTAAATATTTCACAACTTGTGGGAAGGTTTTATATGAAGGATGCGGGCTACAGGAAGAGTTACTGATATAACCGCACTGCCAATCATTGCTTGTGCCCACATTCACCTTAAAGTAAAACCATCTCACAGTAATCATATTTTGAAAATTGTCCATGACCATAAGCTTTAACATAACCCCCCCCCAAGGAGATATCTCTCTTATAGCTATCTCGGGTAAACAGGTGTGACATTTCATACACTATTTATATGGTGCACAAATTTTGCACTCAAGCTCCAGTTGCATAGAGTTGATATGTTTTGCAACACGATAATGCACAATCTGCATATTGTCTACTCTGCTTGCAAAGACAATCTGTATATGGATGTACCCCGCGGGGTTTGAACCACAGTCCTCTTGAATATGAATCACAAGTGTAACCATTATGCTGCAATGTGAGCTCGTTTTTTGTACAAAAGATAATCTTTTCTTCTTTTGCTCAAGTTTCATAATGTCATAATTTTGGAAACTGCGAAGAAACAAATGTGCATTTTCAACATTATGTTTCTAGCATTCACATATACAAGGTGTTTTTTGTATTAAATGGATGATACTCGACAACTTTATGATTATTTTTTTCCTCTTATACTGTTTTTGAGATAGGAATGCAACTTCCACCGTTTTAAACCAGTTGGCGTTGTAAGTGTTGTCACAATAGCGATAGCTACTACTATACCTAGACACCACTTTTAGCAGCAGCCGTTCGGCAGTTAAATGGGGGGTACTAGACATTAGTAGTACCTTGTATATATATATATATATATACACTCACTTCCAAAAGTTAAGCACGAAGATGTGTAATGCAAAAAAATTAACAAATACTGCTTTGATTAACGCAAAATTCAGCAGGAAAGTAGCATATATATTTATACATAAAACAAAATCAATAATTATATACAGAAATGAAAACAATATTAAATTTTTATAAGTTATCCGATAATGACATACTGGAGACTTAAACAGAATTATGTATAAAGCGAAAATAAACAGCATAAAATGAAAAAAGGACATTAATAGGGTATGTGATCCCCCCCTATCTGTATACAAAGTTTACACCTTGTGACCATGCTTTCAATTAGGTGGTCAACCACCGCAGAATTAAGCAATCAACATTCTTCTTGTAGAGCAGTTTCCAGCTCAATAAGAGTGGCTGGAGGTGGGAAACGTGAAGATACAGCACGACCGAGAGCATCCCAAAAATTTTCAATGGGATTAAGGTCGGGCGAATATGCTGGCCACACCATACGCACAATCCTTTCACTCTCCAGGTAGTCATCGACGATGTCAGCTCTATGGGGACGTGCATTATCATCCATTAAAACAAAAGTAGGGCCAACTGCTGCAGTGTACAATCTTACAATGGGTTCTAGGACTTCATCTCGATATCGGACAGCCGTCAAAGAACCCCGTTTAAAGACATGCTCATCTGCATTTCATTGAACATTACGCGCCTAATAGTAGTATGTCAATCCAGCAATGGACATTTCAAAGAAAATTAACATAAAATGGAAGATTATGGATAATCATCTATTAAATCATAAATTTTTGCCCTGTTTTGAGATCAATACAAGTAGAAGAATTTCGTATTCTTTCATTTCTTAATCCTTTTTCTTAGAAGATCTACATTTCGAAACTTTACATAAAACTGTGCAATGTAAATATTTACTTGTGAGTATTTTGAAGAATGCTGTTTGCTTAAAAAGAATTAATGAATTGATCTTAAACTTGCATAAAACATGAAATTTGAGGGTTTTGAATTAATAGATTTGTAAGCATAATGTTCTCATAAATTTACTTAGAATTTTTATATAAATAAATTAAAAAAAAAAATAGCATTGAATTACTTTAAAAGGATATTTACAAAATATGATTTGTTTTTAATGTTTGCTTCTTTATTTGAAAACAAAATTCCATGGAAAGAACTATTTCCCCATTTACTCTTTTAAAGAATTACTAGTTTTCTGTGTGCTGTATATGTAACTGTATTTGTAAATACTCGTTTCAGTTTTCTTTCTATCACAGTGTTTAAGTTTTATTATTTCAAGCATATGCTGAAGATATATGTATATTTAACTAGTTAACCTATAAACCTTGACAGGAAGAAAACAAAAATCTGTTTAGTTTCAAACTTAAAAATCCTGACACACTGCAGAAGCCATAGTGAACATGGGGTTTCAGAATAACTCAGGACAACAGATTATTATTTATTTTTTAATTAGTATTTATTACTTATGGACACAAAAGAAAGTTAAATAATTTGAAATATACATAAATCTTTTAAACTCAGTGAAACTGCTGTGCTGTTTATTCATCAGAATGTATTTTAGCTAAATGTTTTTGTTAAAAAAAATTCAAATATATGTATTTATTTTAATTGTAATGTACTTTTTTGCATATTACTATTTTCACACTTTTCCTCAGCTTTTGTATTGGTTTTTAGGACTGGATTCAATTTGAAGAATTTGAAGATTTTGAAGAAAGAGGTAAATTAATATTTCAGCTAATTGCGTGCTTTAACAGTAATAACTAGTACTGTAGTAACCTGAAGTTATGTCTTTCTAGACAGTCATTCTTCGACTGACAACAGAAATTACAGTAGATTTTTCTGTAGGGATAGTGTTGAAATAGGAAGGGTCATACTGAAGCATTAATTTTGTTAAGAAATTATAAAAATCATATATTAATAGAGTTAAAATTTATAATGACTATGTATGGTGCAGATATTGCTGATACTAAAAAAAAAAAAAAAATGCAAAATTTAGATCTTTATTGTAGAATTAGGTTATTATGGTGAGAATCTTTGAAGTCTCTACTGGTAGAGTAGATGGGTTGTTTTCAGAGGTAAAATAATGGCACAACTATTGATATTTTTGTGGCAACATCTGGCCATGACCTGGAGCATTATTTGGTGACTACCTTGATGAGTGAATTTTGGGCATGGCAGTAATATTAAACTGCTGGAATAAAATGGTAGCTAAGCTAGTTTTCAAACACAGAAACAGTTACAGCAAAAACATGTGAACTATTTACACCAAGTATGCCTAAATTTCATAAAACTCTTTATCCATATTCTGGATGAGGCAATACAAATCAAGATATTACTGTATTATATGTTTCTTATTAGAGTCCTATATGGTGAGATGAATGTATGATTTTCCCACTTTATGGTTAAGCTATGCAGGCCATTCGCACATGTATTTCTCATTGAATATGTTAGTTTTAAGTTCAATTTTGGTTAAGAAATTGCTTCATCTTTCTTCAGACTTTATTTATTTGTTACAGACAGTCTATATCAGGATTGTTTTAATTCTTGCTTTTTTTTTTTAGTTCCAAGTTATTTTGAGCTTCAAGCCGATGAACCTCAAATGGAAGCTGCAGTTACACCGGTTGTACCTAGTGTCCCTGCCGCAGAAAATATAACAGAAGTATGGAAAGTTTAGCAATTTTTGTTGCATTTCATATTATAGATGAAAATTTGTTTTACAAAACATTTAATTCTTATATGTTAGCCAATTAGAAAATATTTTGCTTTTAAAAAGATAAATATATTTTATGTGTGCATACATAAAATGTGTTGTTAATACATTTCTTTCTCTTTAGTACATTGATATCTTTTAATGAAGTATTCCTTTCACAAATGTGTTTGGTTTTGCCACATTTTTTAAAATTTTTTGGTTGCTTATAATTTTGTATTTAAATTTTAATAGACATGCCAAGTCTGTGGCGAAACGTTTGATCTTTTTTGGGTTGAAGATGAAGAGGAATGGCATTTGCGTGATGCAGTACGACATGATGAGCAGGTATGATTATGAGAAATTTTTAATTTATGTGTATAAATTTATTTGCTTTTCTGTGCTACTTTTTTCCCCTTGTAAGTAATTGCTTTGAGGCATGAAGAAAGGCATTTAAATATAACTAAAGAAATCTTTTTGTTAGATACTCATGCATCAGTTTAATAGATTGTTAGAATATTAATTCTGATAGATCGTTGATGATAAAAATTAATCCTTCGAACCATTTGTCTGTGAAGGAGAAAGTGCTGATTGCTTGAAATTAGACCGATAAAACTTCATTAGGAATTTATGAACAATTTTTATTTTAATATTGCTTATCCCTGTTTCTTTAAAAATAATGGATAAAGCTGATTATCTTATTTGTCAGTACTTCCAACTTATTATGCATTTATGTTAGATTTGTAATTTAACAAACATTTGTGTAGATTTTGCTAATAATCTAATTTTTATCACAATGGTTTGCTTTTTATTAGCAATGAAAAATATGTTACCTCTGAAATTTTATCATTCTTAATGTAGTACCAATGATGTGTCTAAGACAGATAAAAAACATAAAATATTTTGAGCCTCTTGAAAATTTAAATTGTGTCTTGGTGGAGAAGCATATATTTTAAATATGTTAACTTCGTATTATTATTTTGTTTGTAACATCTTTATCTCAAAGATCATGTTACACTCATCATATATTTCAGGGGGAAATTTTAGATTGGAGACTGAATTTATAGATAGAGTATTTGGCCTATATCTATGACACTGTAGTACAAATTTTAACTCTTGGCTGTTGCAAAAATGAAATGAGATTTTTTTTTTTTTTTTTACTAAATATCACATCCTGAACATGACTGTACACTTTATTTTCTATGATTGACTCCTGTTTAAAAGTTACATCTAATTCATCTTACATTTTTAACACTCATAAGTTAGATTTTGCTTATGTTTTTAGCAATTTTTCATAATCGAAATAAAGAAATAAAATCAGCTTTTTTATATTAAATTTCATCTCCTGAACATGCAGTTTATTTTCAGAGATTGGCTTTGTTTAGAAGTTCCAACAAATTTAAAAATTAACACTTTTCTTACTAAAGCAGCTCTCTTCAATAGGAAAAATACACTAAAACATTAATGAATATTTTTAAAAATACTGAATGTTCAAGCCTTTGAAAATGTGATCACTTTTTAGTTTGTTGCTTGTTACTAACTTGGACCCTTTTATTCTTCATGCTGCAATTGAAATCAGCTCATATTGCTGCTCTAGATTAGAGAAACTGTTACTTTATATCTTTCTTCCTTTACTGTACTTTCCCAATGAAAGTGTTCCGTATGCTTATCACAAACAGGCATTACTGCAATTGTCGGGGAAGAAATTGAACCGAGAATGGATGACACATAATTGCAGAGACCCCATTCTTTTCATATGATGCCTTAAGATTCCTCTCTATTCATTTGTAAATATCCACTTGTCAGTTCTTCAGAAAATCCAAACACATTTAGCAGAAATGTATTCCATGCTATGTATTCACTTTCATTGAGTTTTATTCCAATTGAGAATCACATAACAAATGATATACCTGATATCCAACAAAATACTTTTTTTAAACTTGGGCGTGGAAATTTGCTGCATAAGTATGCAGATGCCAAACAATTTTTCTTCATTACTGCCGTAAAGTTTTTTATGAACCCCAGTTTGATATGAAGTGGTGGAAGCAGTATCTTTGTTGGATCTATGAAATGATGTGATATAAAGCTTTTTATACCAGGTCTGGAAGCTGCATGGGGAGGACAGTTTTTCTTTTCATAATGTAAATGCCTGACATGACTGTCTGATTCACAAGAGAAACAAATGTATTTTATGTAACTCCAGCAAAACTGCAATAATCTTAAAATCATAACAAAGTTTTTTTCTAAATGGATTGTGTTCCAGGTACCAATGAATCGGTTTCATGTTCTCATAAGTTTCCTTAAGATCAACTGCCCAGCCAACAGATATTTGAGGAGAAGCATTACCAATATTCAGCAAAATTCCTATCAGATAGGACTTGGAAGAGCCAATAATATGTGTGAGAACCAATCTTGTGATATATTGATCAGACAAAAGGACTTTCAATGACATGGTGCAGTCAGATTTTATTTTGTGTTTGTCTGAAGTGGGGAAACTGTAACACTCACATAGTCTGCTAGGTGTTGCTAGAGTGCATATGGTCTAGAACCATGTACTTCTACATCATGCAATTAAAAGTAAGCAGTAAGAGAAATATTCATAATGGTTAATAATAACTGGAGGGAGCCAAATTGCTGAAGGAAGTTTATTTAGAGAAAGAATTCAAAGTAGCTTATGGAGAGGAAAGAATTTAAAGTATCGAATTCTTTTTGTAGTTTTGTAGTTTTGAAATTTGTTTTTCTCTTTTTATTTTAAATTATATTTTTTTCACTTGGAACGATTTTTAACTCTTAATAATTTAAACGATTTCTCGGTGTTAACCCTTTGGGTGCACTCAGTTTACGTTGGAATTCCACAAAAAAAGTTTTATGCACTCTATTTAGTCCTAAGGAGTGACAGGCTAAAATTTTGTCAAATGCACTTACTTTTTAATCTGTGGGGGTTTGTTTCTGAGGTGGGACACTGCGCTGCCAGAGCTTTCAAAGTGACTAAGGAGCACTGGCAGGTGAGCACAAAAGAGTGAAGCGTTTGTTAAGAATGAAAAAAAAAACTAGTGTATTATGGTTATCCATATCTTGAATATATACGATAAATGTGATAAAATATCTATATACACAAGTCCTATATACAAAAATATTTACATTTTCGGAAAGAGTTCGCCCTCTCCACGCCATTTATGGAAAATAATAATAAAAAATTTTACGATTAATATAACAAAAGAAAAATAGCCGTTAATTAGAACACACGAAAAATCTACCCAATTATTGGAAATAAACAGGAATGAGACTAAAATGCAACAGCAAAAAATACGCACAGGTCTAAGTAAAGATGAGTCAAGCTACTAATAATATTCCCGCCTAAAAAACTACTCCCAAAAAATTCGACATGCCAATATTAGGGCTTTCATAACACAAAACACACCTCACTCCTCAATACTGCTTTGTTGGAATTCATTCCCCTTTCAAAACAACGTAAACAGAAAAGGTAAACAATGGATGTTCTCTCATAAGCACAGATGAGAGTTCTGATTCATAACAGCATGAGATCGCTAAAGGTGCAGTGTTCCCGCTAATGGAACACCCGGTTTTATTCAATGATTCTGCGTATCTTTTTTGTATGAAAGATTTAAAAAAATATAGGAGAGTAATTTGGGTACAGTCAGCAAAATTATGCCTAATTTTTTTTCCAATAAAATTTTTTATCATTAAAAAAAAGAGAAAATACTTGAAAAAAGTGAATTTTAATAACAGTAATAAATAAAAATTCTGTTTGGTCTCCTTGTGATAGCTGCTATCTACTGTTGAAAAGTCAAAGTATCTTATAGGATTTTTATCTATTTACAGTTGAATTTAAAGGTTTCAGAAGCGATTCAATTTGGGCGTTCCATGTAGTGGAATACTGAGCCACAAAGGGTTAACTCAGTGCAGCAAAGTTTGGGTTACGCAAGGAAAAATTCAAGGCAGAAATTAATTCTGTGGGTAAGGTGATTCTTAAAGGCAAAAAGAATGAAAACAGTGCAAAAAACCCTCTTTTCAAATGAAAATTGAAGTCTTCTGAGAGATTGGTAACAGTAGCATTTCTCGGCATTTCAGGTCCTCAAAGCAAAAGCTCCGAGAGTTGCATTAATCACTGATGATATCAATACTGGAACTGAAGTTTGGGGGACATGGGATTACCCCTTATGAGTCTGGTAGATGCTATAGTCTCAACCGGTGACATCTTGGTCTCTGTTGAGCTGTGGATCACAGGGCCTTAGGCAGAAAGTTGTTAGAGTGCATATTTATCAATTTTTTAAATTCTGGAAAACAAATTTTGACTGTATATCTTGATTAATATATGGATGAGTTTAATGTTCAGGTCTCAATGAATTGCATCATTATGTCAGAGTTGCCAACTCTTCCGATTTAGGCGATAGACTCCCGATTTTCGACCGCTCTCCTGCCAACCCGATTTACAATATATTTCTCCCGAATTTTTCTTATTCTTAAAATTTCTCATGATTTTGATGGAACTTGGCTTAATACTTTGTTATATGAACAAAAAAAAAGTGATTTTGGACGTCTGAAAGTAGTTGAATTTTCTCTAAATTATATCTGTAACAAAACCTTTCAAATTAGGTAACTTCTGCTTTGTGAGTGAGAGCATATACGTATTCAGAAACGTCGTTCTCCAGTTCTCCAATGGGCATCGTGCTAAACTGCATGTCATTTGGCATATATTAGCCGATGAGGACAAAGCAAGCTGTTATTTGGATGTTCTTTAGTTATTTCGGTCATTTTGTCCTAAGTTGTGTGAGTACACGTACTTCGGGAAATAGTTTTAGAAATTATCATCTTTTATTATGTCTGCGCGAGAATTAGGTGAAATAAAACGTGTGACGTTTTCAAAATCGTCCACAGTTGACTTTCTTCCATTATTTTCAAGGAGGAAATGTAATAAATTTGTGATGTGTACCGCCTGTCATTGCGATTTTTCGATTTCGCATGGTGGAAGAGCGGATGTTCTCAAACATGTGCGTACCCAAAAGCACAAGGACAACATGAGTTGTTTTTAAAAAAACGAAAAATTAATGCATGACGAATAGAGAAACAAGTGATGTAGCATAGACCTAGAGTTGAATCCCCCCAAAAAAACTAGAGCTGATCCTTATCTCCACCTTCGGATCCAAAGTGCAAGAAGTAAGCTTTCTTGTTTCAAGAACAAGAAAGCTTACTTCTTACTTCTAGGAATATTTTCTAGATTTAACTTTCTGCATATGCATAAAAAAACCTATTTGGTTTATACAAACACATAAGTGGTATGTGTTTTATTACCTCAGTATACATATTTTAACATACATAAAGCGCAA